GGGTCACACGGCGGATCTCCACATCAGCTTCAGCTTCAGCTACAATGTCCTCCCTTATACATTCGTTCCTTATGGATTCACGGGGTCTCCTGGCGTCCTCTTGTCTCTCCCGTTCTCGGGAAACACGACAGATCTCCACATCAGCTTCGGCTTCAGCTACAATGTCCTCCCGTGTCTTCACGTACCTCCCTGTTTCGCGGGGTCTCCTGGCCTGTTCTCTGTCCCTTTCTTGGGTCACACGGCGGATCTCCACATCAGCTTCAGCTTCAGCCACAATGTCCTCCCGTGTCTTCACGTACCTCACGGATTCATGGGGTCTCCCGTCCTCTTCCCTTCGCTTTTCTTGGGTCACACGTCGGATCTCCACATCGGCTTCAGCTTCAGCTATAATGTCCTCCCGTGTCTTCACATACCTCCCTATTTCACGGGGCCTCCTGGCCTGTTCTCTGTCCCTTTCTTGGCTCACACGTCGGATCTCCACATCAGCTTCATCTTCAGCTACAATATCCTCCAGTATACGCTCAGTCCTCCTCACTGATTCACGGGGTCTCCTGGCTTCGTCTTCCCTCTTGCGTTCCTGGGTCACACGTCGGATCTCCACATCAGCTTCAGCTTCAGCTACAATGTCCTCCCTTATCCGTTCATTCCTTATGGAATCACAGGTTCTCCTGGCTTCCTCTTGTCTCTCCCGTTCCCGGGAAACACGGTGAATCTCCACGTCTGCTTCGGCTTCAGCTATAATGTCCTCCCGTGTCTTCACATACCTCCCTGTTTCACGGGGTCTCCTGGCCTGTTCTCTGTCCCTTTCTTGGCTCACACGGCGGATCTCCACATCAGCTTCAGCTTCAGCTACAATATCCTCCAGTATACGCTCCGTCCTCCTCACTGATTCACGGGGTCTCCTGACTTCGTCTTCTCTCTTGCGTTCCTGGGTCACACGGCGGATCTCCACGTCTGCTTCAGCTTCAGCCACAATGTCCTCCCATGTCTTCACGTACCTCCCTGTTTCTCGGGGTCTCCTGGCCTGTTCTCTGTCCCTTTCTTGGGTCACACGGCGGATCTCCACATCAGCTTCAGCTTCAGCCACAATATCCTCCCGTGTCCGCTCCGTCCTCCTCACTGATTCACGTGGTCTCCTTACTTCTCTCTCCCTGTTTCGTATCACATGTTGAATCTCCACATCAGCTTCAGCTTCAGCCACAATGTCTTTTCTTGTCCTTTCATACATTGTGGATTCATGTGATCTCCTGCCCTTCTGTGTTTTCCCTTGTTCATAGTTGTCTTCTTCTAGCTCCCTTGTGTTATTGTATCTGCGGTCTATTACTAGCGGTTCCTGGAGGTATGACTGATGCAGCCTTTCTGAATCCATGTATTCAGACTTGCACGGCTGGCGGCTGCTTCTTTCAAGTTCTTTTTGTTCCAGCTCACGTAGGTGGTTGCGGCTTCTGTCTTCTTTGAGTAATTCAGGCTTTTGCATTTGATTGCACGTTCCTCTATCTGCTTCTTCTGGCTCATGTGGCCGACGGCTGCTTCTCCCATGTGCCACTGCCTCTTGATCTTGTGGTCGATGGTTTCTTTGATCATACACTGGCAATGTTGATTCACGTGGCTGATGGCCACTCCGCCGGTCTGGCAGCAACTGTGGTTCACAGGAATGGCTGCAGCTCCTCACGTCTGCTAGTTGCTCTCGTTGAGGCTTCTCTTGATTTTGTCTTTCATCTCTCTGCTCTGTCTTCAAGCTGCCACGCTTGTGGTTTTGTAAATCTCCCAGTCTGTCCAGCTCGGGTGACTGATGTCTTCGGCTGCTTCGTTGGTCGCATGGCTCTTGGTTTTGTTCTTCATATTCCTGAGGGGTCATTTCCCTTGGCCTGGTGCTTTGTCTTGCATCAGCTCTACTTTGTGTGTTACGTTGCTGGCGATGACTTCCCGTCTCCTCTTGTGTCTCAAGATCCTGGGCCCTGGTGTCTCGTTGTGGCTCAGGTATGCAGGGGGGATGGCGATTGCGTTCAAGTGTTCGTGATTCCTCTTCCTGGAACTGCTGACGGCTCCCTCTGTTCCTAATTTCAGGCTCTTGGACTGTCTTGCTGCTGGTTACCAGCTTTGTTCTTTGCAGAAGGCATCGTCCCTTCTGCTGGTACCAGTAGCAGGCCTTAGCCACTCTGAATACTAAAAGCAGGAACTCATTAAAATCGATTTCTCCATCCCCATCCCACTCCAGAAACTGCAGAATCTTGTCAATTGTCTGAGGGTCATGTGGGTTCTGTAGAAAAAACACACAAAGAGAAACAAAAAGCCTTGCTGCTCCTTGTCAGGAAATGCAAACCCAGCGATCATGACAATCTCTTCTACTTGCATCTCTCTTAGGTTCTCTCCGCATCCCCTCCATGGCTGTGTTCTCCATTTTCCTGGTGGTGGTTCCCTGGCAACAGCTAAACATTTGGTGATGCCATATCCCTCCTCCAAATGCATTTCTTTCCTATCTTTGAAACTAAACTAACTCACCATTCTTTCTCCAATTTTTCCCATTTGTTCACAGCAAAATCTATAGAAAGAACTTTTGCAGACAGTACAAAACCGCACATCTGCTGTGCGCCATTGGCAAAAGCCTCTGTATCCCATTTCCCTCTGGTCACAAGAATCACTCCCTCTCCAGAAAGTTTTCTGGTCCCCACACTTCAATTTTGTCCTCAACCTTTGCCTATCACTGCAGCACTCACCACTATGGCATCTGCAAATTCCTTCTGGATGAACTCCTTCATCTTCCTTCGGTTGAGTTTGGATTGGTCTCCATCTTCCTTTGCATGTTGGTGAAAGACAGTAATGATGGTGGAAACGCTGTCTAAGAAGTGAGACATCTTTCTGCAGATTCAAGCAAGCCTGCAAGAAAAGTAGCAGACCTAAGGATGGGAGATTTTTTGGCTGAGCATGGAGGATTGCTGGGGTCAAGCTGTGCACATTAATGAGAGTCTGGGTGCTCTGAGCTTTGTGTCCGCTCCCCTACCATGGCAAGCTGTTCTTTACCAGGGCACTGGGAAGATATCCAAATGCTTAGGGGTTTTGGTGGGATGGGGAGTGTCCTCCAACTTGTCTGCTGACGTATTGGAATGACGTTTGGTATGGGATGGCATGATGCCAGCATTTTTGGGTTGCAGGGAGGGGATTGGGGATGGTGACTCAAGAGATACCCCAAGAACCTGTCCCTGTGGTCTCTACCAGCTCCTTCAGTTTCTAGAACCAACGCAGCTCTTTCTGCTTGGCACTGGGATACACCAGCTCCTCTGGAGAGGTCAGAGGATGTCTAAGGCAGTGCTGGCACATTCTGAGAGAAGACCCAGCTTGAGCAGAGGTGGATAGAGCATTCACAAGCATTCGCTTGTTTAGAGGGTTAAAGAAGCCCTGTGACCGGCAGCAATGCAAATCAAGAGATGAATCTCATGTTACAGCACCAGCTTGTTGTCCAACAGATTTTGGCCAAAGAGAACAGTCAGATCACCCAGGTCAGAAATATTTTTTGAATTTAATGACAATCTCCTGGGCAGAAAGCAGTGCTCCTGCTTGAGCTTTGTGTCTGGAAACCTCAAATGCCACCTCCATGCTCCTTGCAGGATCCCCAAGCCTGTTATCGGCTGCATTGGTGCCAGGATCTCGGCTTGCAGCTGGGGAAGCTGCTCCCTGCCTGCTTGCAGTGTGCACACATGCATGAACACATGCACGCACCTCTGCATGCAAAACCTCTGTCTTGCTATTTTTATGGAAAACCGAACACTTCTTCAATCTTTTCACCCTGGGTGGGAGATGAGTGCAGACCAAAGCGAGGCGCCAGACCTGGCTCCGTCTCTCCTTTTTGTTTAGAGGAAAACTGCCTTTCCACACAACACACAACAAAGAGCACGCAGCTGTCCAAGTGGTGAAAAATAACATTTCATTGAAGACAAACCCGAAAGACGCCCGGAAAATACTGCAGCAGAAACGTCATTGCCACCCAAGGCAGATCCTACAGAAATCATTCATTTTCAGCCAGCAAAGCATGCTTTTCAGAAGGAACGACTTACCCAAGTCACCAACGGGACCGAATGGGATTCCTGTGAAGCCGTGCGGAGTGATCGGAGGACCCGAGCGCTTTTATAGGGTCCTTGGTGGAGGAGCAGAAAGGAGCCACCCTTTGTGGACATTGTCCTGATTCATCTTTGGCCAAACCCAGCTGCACCTTCATGTCCTCAAACGGGTTATTTAACTTATCATCCCATTACCTATCATTTTAACCCAGAAATAGCAGTTGCCATGTGGCAATTCAGGCATCTGCTGGTTCCGCCTAATCCGGACTGTAAAGTTATTTTACGGGCTGATTGTATTTCAGATTTAAAAAAAAAAAATCTAGACTGCCTATAAAGTATATATATACATTAATGGGAGGATGTATTTTTTTATGAACATGTATCTTCATAGGTATGCATTTATGTATGCATAATACATGCACATAAAAATAGCACCAGAGTGAACCTGGGAGGGTGTTGTAAGCAGATTTGGGGACCTGCCCACCGTTCTGCAGATCCTTGGGGCTGGGGTCTAGCAGTTTGGCTTTGGGTTTTACTCATGCAGGAAGGATGGAAGAAGCCCCAAGAACTACAGAAGTGAAATGTAGGTGGGCAGCAGAGAGATCTCCAAATCCTGCAGGAGATCTTTGCTGTTGTAGTGATCTTGTAGCATGTGCTGAAATACATATATATTTTTTTCTCCTTGATAACTTCTTACTGAGGAGCCTTTCGTTGTATTATCCGGATTTTGGTTGGAAAAAGAAAAAAAAAGAAAAAAAAAAGCCCAAACCAACAAAAAATTGTGAACAGTAAAATCTGCAAAACGGACTTTTTAACCAGAAAACGCCTATTCAACATTCAACAACTTTTCATTGAGAAAAATGATGATACAACATGTTTTCATGTTAACTCTTTTCCGTGAGCAGATTTCATTCCAACTTCTCTTGATCTTTAATTAAAACTAAAAGTGGAAACGTCTCGGCTGGGAGCTCCATTCATGTTGAATCTGGTCGCTCTAGGCAACTTTTGCTGTAATTGCCTCTCTAATTCCCCCCCTTTTTTTTTTCCTTTAATGCAAGTGTAAATGTATTACAGACCAATGGATTCCTTTATTGCTCCCAAACTCTCCCCATGCAGGGAGCATACAAGGAAAGCTTTGGCTATGCCACCTGGGCTCTGTGTTGGAGCTAAGCTGCATGACATGACGGAGACATTGCGGGCAGCTCCGGAGCAGGAACTTGCCACACAGCCTTGACTGAGCTGCTCATCTGTCCCATCTGATGGTAAGAACATACTGGGTGTAGGAGCCTAATTAATTAGTGCTGGTAACACCTTGGGGATACTCATACAAGTGCTCACAGAGGATTGTTACTAACCGTGCTTCATTTTTGAGCTTTTTTTCAGGATTAAATTATACTGGTGTAAATTATACCCCACCTGTGGGATAATGATACCCTTGGGAAACTGTAATTTTATGGTAGATTGCAGTTATTATTAAAATTAGAGCATTACAGTGTGGCAGGAGCTTGTACACACAGTGTCCTATAACAGTCTGCAATCCCCGCAGGGGTTGGGGACATCGGGAGGCACCGGGCAGATTTCAGGTTTTAGTAGAGGCAGAGGTCCATGGAAGCAGCACCAAACTTTGTTCTCCAAAGGCTTGAGAAGGGGCTCTCAAAGGGGGGTTTGGGTCAATTTTTCAGTGCTGTTATCCAGCAGGGTGGGCTCCATTCTCCTCTCTCCATCCAGTTCTGTGTGAATCGCTGTCTGTGTTTGTATAGGGTGGCCAAGCCTCATTTGGTTGTTGAGATCACCCATTGGTCATCCGTCAGTGGGATCATCCATTGGTGTTTGGATCATCTGTCAATCAGTGAGGTCATCCAATGATCATTGGGATTGCCCATTATTTAGTAGGACCGTCCAGTGATCATTGGGATTGCCCTTTGTTTAATAGGATCATCCATTGATTCTATGATTTAATCCCAGAAGAACTGGGCTCCTCATGGGGCACATAAGAGACGTCTATCACCTCCCAGCCTTGCAGATGTCTTAAACAGGTCCTTGTGTCTGCAGGGTAATTTTTACTCTGCTGTAATGTTCTTAAAATGAACCAAAAAAAAACCTCGCCCCAACTTAAAATACAACACTCCAAAAGTAGAATAACTCGGAATAGTGTATAATTATCACACCATTAACAGAAATGGTGGGTCGTTTTTTTACTGGTGCTGCAAAAGGCTGTAGTTGATGGACTGAGGAGTCTGGTGATGGGAGAATTGAAGCGGGGCCAGTAAGTAGCAAAGGGCTCTTCAACAATCCTCAACTAAGAGCTGTTTTGCAAGAAAAATGCCATTTTCTGGAAATGAAAATGTTCTGAGGAATATCTCAGATGGAATGGGAGTTTTGATGGATTTGTGATGGAACTTAAATCTTGTCTGTCCCATTTCATTTTGACAACACTCGCAGCTGCCATTAAGGTGGGTCAGGGTCTGCTTTCTCCAACGTGTTTTATCATCACAAGAGCAGAGTGGTGCATTTTGTGTCCGGCGCATTTAACTGTGACATCAGTGCTTCTAGACCAAATCATGTTCAAAAAGTGCCTTCTTAGAGATCATCTTCAAATGCTGCTTTTTTTTTTTTGGTTCTGATTCAGCACGCAGCAAATTGTGAAATTCCGGTGTGTCCCGGAGCACTGACGTTCTGTTTCCCGGTGAGGTCTCTGTGTTCTGCTTGTCACCGGCCACAGAGCAGGAGGTGCGGGTGCATTTATCATCCACTGATTTGGCTGATAGGTCGCCGGCAAAAGATAATATGGGGAAAAACAGGCTGAGCATCACCTCCCTGCGGGATGCGGAATCCTGGTGGTCCGGCACATCCAAACCCATAATAACCCCTCTGACTTCAGTGGGCTGCTTGCACCCACAATCACCCACATCCCTACGTGCACATCCGGAGCTGGTACCCGAAATTCCCGAGGCTGAGGCCAGGTCCACGTGTGCATGGATTGCGTGTCAGCTTTTTGCACTCAGCCTCCCAGGTGTTACTGGGACCGTGTGTATGTGAATAATGAGGGTTAATATCCCTCAGCTCCTCTCGGAGCATTCAGTAGCTAATAGGGATTTCCATTTTCATACTGTGTTCCGCATCTCCCCCTTTATTTATTTTTTTAATAAGTGAAGATAAATAAGATAAATCCCTCCCACTGAGCATTCAGAGCTCTTGATTCTTTTTACAGCAGACACGCACAGTGACTGGAACAGATGCATGCTGCCAGGTAGCTGCTCAGAGGCCATCATACCATCGCATCAATCCCAACACCCACCCTCACTGAAGACATTGGATGTCACATCCCTGCCTGCAGGGACACATCGATTCATCTTGGGCTGCATGCCCCCAGGACACAGCACCGCAGGGCCATGTGGCTCTGTGTCACACATGGGATGGACACTGAGGTCCTTTGTGCTAGCTCAGAATGGTGCAGCAATACACCAGGACACTGTGCTGTTTTGCAATCAGTTTTATTGCTTTGCTTAGATAGGCAGAGGTAGCTTAATACAGGATAAGAGAGAAGGTCTCAAGCCAGGAATAGTTCAGTACAAGCTGGGGGTGCAAGCCCAGGGTTAAGAAAAGATTGGACAAGATATAACAAATGGCACTGGACAAAATATCCCACCTTGCTGGCACTAATAGCCACAATTGCACTGGGCTCACTGCAGCTCTTACTTCTTTGGAGGCCACTGAGGCTGCAGGTGCTCTTGCTCTGCCGCATGTTTTCCTTTGCCATGAGCCCCATGTTGCTGTTGTCCTGGGACACGTTCAACCTC